AGGCGCTTTGTGCTTATAAATGTATATAATTAAGTCTTCTTTGTCCCTAAACTCATTATTTTGATTTGACACCTCGGAGGAGATTCTCCTCGCTCCAAACAGTTTAATTAGTGTCTGCCCAAGATGAAAAATTATCTTTTTCACTTCCCAGAAGTGCAACATTTGTATATATTCATTTTAATTGAATTATGCAAATCGACTCGCGGCTGACGCGTTGCACATTTTTGTTTGGGTGCTATCTCGTGAGAAACAAAAGAATATGCACAGCGACATGAGATAAAAGCATTTGAGAGGAAGTTTCCGCCGCGCTATTTATTCTCCAAGTGATGACATCCGGAGTGGAAAGGTGTTAATTAATAATGAATATATGGCTGGAATTTCACTGTCAAATTAATTTATAGAAGCTCTTCATCAAAGAGCAGCTGAAGCGAAAAGTTGCAAATGAGTCCTGGCGGCAAAAAATCAAAGATATGCCAACTTTAATAGCGCAAAAGCTTTTTTGTTAATTTAAATTTCATTTTTGGAAATAAATTAAATGAAAAGCTGATATTTCATATTATTTTTGTTAAAAAAAAGAATATTATTTTTTGCCTGACGATCTAATTTTTGATCTATTTTTGATGGTGCAAAAGATCTGTAAAATATTTGGGGCGGTGCCTAATGTTCCCTCTCCAAAAGAAGAACGTGTGACTTAATAATGAGCTCCTGCGTTTCACGGCGGTATCACATTTCGTTTTTGCTACTTGTACAACAGGCAGTTGTATAGTTTCAAGCACGAAATTAGCCTTTTAATATTTTTTTTCTCGTCCGGTGCAGTAGCATCAGAAGTCCCCGTGAAAACTACAATGTAGTGCGTTTAACGAGACACAACTCTTCGGCGAGATCAAAAACACTAATGCTCGCAAATTTGACACTCGCACCACGTGCAATTAGAGAAAAAGAAGTCCTACTACACGAGATGGAAAGAATCAAGTACACCATCATTTCCAGCACAACCGGCGCGGCGCATTAAAAGATAATCAAGCGACGCATTTGGCCTCACACATGCACCGACTTTCCCATAATTAATTTAAAATCAAGAGGAGTAAACTTTGAGAAGTCCAAGAGAAAAATCATTCTCTCATGTTAAATTAATTAAATTCCTGCGCCGGCTGGAAAAGATGTAATTAATGATTTGTCGATATTACGGCCGAGCGAGAGGAGATTATTTCGCTTTTTACAAAACGTGTCCACCCATTATTTTTTTGTTTACAAATTCCGGCGAGCAAGCAGCCGATTTTATGATCCGCCTCCAATAATAAGCTGGAACAATCGCGCGCGGCTTCGCTCGTCGGCTTTTTCGCGTCGTCGCTTCGGATTCATCCATTTATTTATGAGCCGACCGCAGCTTATAAGCTTATAGAGAAGCGTGGTTTTCCCATTTTGTATCAAATTTCCGAGAACGCTTTCCTTTCTTTTCTTATTCTATAATTCTCTCCATTCCTTAATTAAAATGCGTGAGCCATGCGCGCGCGGTAATTACATAAAATAAAACCTCTTTTTGCCTCTTTCGCTCTCAGCCGGACAAACGGCAACGGTCAGCCAACAGTTAAATTTTATTGACCTGCTAATTGAGCAATACCTCTTGAGACAACGTCCCAAAGGGGTTAGGTAATTTGGTTGGCACGAAAAAAATGTAGCTCATCCGCGGAATAGAAATTGCCGAATGTAAAGTGTCATATTTATTTCTCTTTTCTTTCTGATTTTGTTCATTTGAAAACGACCAAAACATTTCCTTGTCTGTGGCACCATTTTATCTTGGACCAATGTAGTGCATTATATAATAACTATTAATTATTGCGTATCATAAATAATATTATTTCCATTGTTTCACGTATTGATTTGATTGCAATTTTTCACAATGATATGATTACCTAAAATAACACATACAAAAGACAAGATGTTTGCTAAAGTAAGAGACTTTCATACAAAGTGATAATATTAATAACCAAGCAAACTCAAAGTTAATAAAAAAAATTGAGGGTAGAAATAAATATTATCAACAAATTTAATTAACATTATTTATTTAAAGAAATAAATATTATAAAAAAAATGAGAATAAATTTTATTTATTACTCCTTGCAACAAAAATGAAATTTTTAACAACAAAATAAATTTATAATTTCATTCCCTGCGACACACCATGCGTTTTTATGTATATAAGTTAAATAAGTTTTGTCATCTTTCAGCCACTTTTCCAGTGTAAATTAAGTTTATTACAATAATTGATTCTCATTTTTAATACTGAAAACAGGAACGCCTAAGTGCAACCAAGTATAATGACACACAACATTCAGTTCAATCAGATCCTGCGATTTCAAGCATGTGCACCTCATTAGAGCCGAGTGTACATTGTATGTTTTTTCTTCGGCGGGCAAAAATGCCTGCACCATTGGCAATGACCAATCCTATTTAATTCCTGCTCGGGTACGAAAGAACCCTGCAGATGAGGACAATGAAATGGCTCATTGTGCACTCAAACAATGCAAAACGGGAACAATACCGATATGGGAGTCTTCTTTTGCCATAGGCTCGCTCACTGACTGATGCAGATCAAAACAAACAGACATTCGTGATAATCATTTTCTCTTTCTCCAGAGAGAGAGGCAATTTTAATGAGTCGGTCTGCAAATGACCGGCGCTGTCGCAATTAAAATGGAACGGCCACTTCTGATATGCTACAACAAATTGAATTTGCTTCGCGGAAACTTCGAGCAGGCCGTGAGAATGGACAACAACACCTGGTCCGGCTCTAAATTGCAAAGAGAGACAGACAATGCATCTTTAATCTGCGCGTGAATAAAATCTGCGAATTTTCATGGAAATAGCTCTGCTTGGAGCAAATCACTAAAAGGTATTATTGTGACAAAATATAGATAATTATAGTTTAAAATTTTAGTGATTCTATTATTCAAATGAAACAAAATAAAAACGTTTCGATGATGCAGTATACTTTTGTAAGATAATTGATAAAATGCTGATAGAATAATTCAGATTCATGAGTATATCCTTATATTTGATTTAGAAATTAAAATCGATTTGTCTTTAGATTTTAAAAAAATCTAGAATTAATACAATTTAAAGTCTAAATTTATAAAATAAAATTATAGGAAGTAAAAAAATCAATTATTATCTTTTTTAAATAACAAAGCATTTTTAATTTATAATTAAAAAATATAAGTAACTAACTAAAATTTTTCTCTTTGTTGGAAAAAGGAGTAATTTGAAAATTATCCTCTCATAGGAGGAATCGTTTAAATCTTAGCTTTCATTACGAAGGAGGACGTCTAGAATATCAGCCACATTATTTCACTCGGCGCAAACAATGGTGACAAGACCAATAATAATAACAATATCAGAGCGGTCGATTGTCCGGCGAGAGCGCATTATGCAAACTGGTTTCATGAGAAGAATCGCACCTAACTTTGCGAGTACAGTACGTTCGCAGGATCTACTTTCAAGTGAAAACGTATGCAACAATGTCACCGCGGGGGAAAGACGAAGAGGAATTATGTCGGCGAGCAAGGAGGCAGTAGGCAGTGCAGCGCCGATTTTATATTCGTTTAATCGCAAACTCGTGTCACCACTTCATTGACTGGTGCGCGGCCGAGAGAAAGAGGAAAATGGCTCGTCGCAAGAGGAGCAAATCGAGCGTTAAATTTGAAACTTGTTGAGCGCTGGAACATGCCGACTGGCAGCCTTTTTTGCACCACACTCTGCTGCAAATTTATTGAACGCGAACAGCTCTCGTGATTTTATTGACAATCGCATTTCATTCTTGTGGTTGACAAAAATCCTGATTTACGTGTCTGTTTGCAGGCAATATCAATTCCATTAATATGCAAAGAAATTGCAATTTAATGACTTAAAAAACTGTAAAATTGTAGTTGATTCTGAGAAAAAAAGTGGCGTAAAATGAATAATAATTTTATTAACGCTGTGTTTTCTAAAGAAGTTGATCTAAAATGTAAATTATTTACCTTTTCATTGATAAATATAATGATCAAAATCCGTCTGATTGTGAAATTCAGCACTTCTAACTTGCGTTGTATCTTTTTCTCATTCTATCAAAACAATGAACAGAATTTTGAGCCATTTAAAAAGCCAATTTTCCTCTATTTTCATAAAATTCATTCCAGTTCTTGGAATAATATAATTATATCGCACTGGAGATAATTTATTGTTAATAGCAAATGGCAGTTGAGCTACAGTGAAAGATTGAAAAATTCCAAACAAATGGGATCGTTGCCTCATAACGTTGCCCAAGTTCATTTGGACCTAAATGCCGGCGCATGCCGATCAGCTGATATGAAAATCGTGTTTACGCCACTGAGGGAAGAACAAAAAAGTAAAAACATTTTCAAACAATTATGCTATATTTTATCATCCCGTTAATAAATTTTAAGCTTGAATTTGTTGATATCATCTATAATATAATAACAGACTAAAATAATTCACTTCATTTGAATCTAAATAATCAGCAATTATTAATTTTATAATTCATCGCGTGCGTTTGCAAGTAAAGCTGTAATACTTATTATGTATTGGAATTTAAAAACGGACTGCATTAAATAATTTCATTTGTTTTCTCAGCTTCAAATTAAGTAATTTCTATAAAATTACTTAATTATGACAGAGAATTTGATATGATGAAATTTCCTGTGTAACAAAGAAAGGAACATTATTTGCTGTTCAAAATAATTAAGGAAGGATTTCCCATCATTACACTAATACTATCATTATTCTTGCTAATGGACGTGCTAAACTTGCGCATGAACAGATTTCAAAGTGAGCAAAAAAGCGGCATAGCTCACAATTCCGAGAAATGCAGCACCGCGAGACGGGACAAGCTTGCGAACACGAAAACCATTTGCCCGACCGCAACCCCCGCGGCTTTTTCCGTCGCGAAATTGCAATAAAAGTCTTTTTTCTTGATATGCATAAAAGTAAAAATTACTCACCTTGGCCGTGGTTGCAGTCGCCGGCGTGTTTCCGCAACAAAAGCTTCTGCAGGGCCAATTTTTCACGGTAGCGACAAAAGAACTCGGGCTTGATGCCGTTGGCCTGCAGAAAGCGGTCGTACGTCTGCAGGGTGCACAAAATGCGCTTGGCCACGCAACACGCGGCCTCCACCTGCTGCGGGGGCGGCGCCGCCGCCCCCGGCTGCTCTGCGAACACCGAGTCCCGCAGCCAGTTCTGCACTTTGTCTCGGTGCAGGTCGGCGTCGACGAAGGCCCCGTCGGACTCGTCGTACGTCTGGTCGGGCAGCAGCATTCTGCTGGCATCGCCTCGTCGCACGTGGCCCGCAGCGCCGACACTCGCTCGACGAAGCCTCGCGCCGCTCCGAAGCACCGAGCACCACTGAGCACTGAGACTGAAACGGCCGCACAACCACGGCCGGCGCGGAGGCGTGCGCACTGCTCGGCCCCTGGCTGGCCCGCAGCCCGCCTGACCCGCTCCTCTCAATGTAGTACACGCCACATTACACATCATGTGTGTTGTGTAGTAACTTCGTCGTTACCCATTTTTTTTTCTTTCAAAGTCATGGAGTTGTCGGCACAGTTATGCAAGAATTCTTACTCATTCCAGATAATTTCACAGTTCATTCTAAATTAAAATCACATTTTTAATAAAAAAAGAAATACATTTTCTTTTGTCCTCTCATCAAATAATGAATTAAACAAAAACACATAGCCTGATATAATACAACATAATGTACCTGTATGGGTTAGGGATGGAAGAATGTAGGTGATCATTTAAAAATGAAATAACCCCATTTTCCATTAAATAACAGTAAAAAATAAGCTTTTATTTCAAATTTCCAATTTCATGCAATAGCTAAAAAAATTACTAAGAAGAGAAAATAATTTTTAATTGCAAATAAAGTAGTATTATAATTTTTTTAATAAAACGTTAAATTTTTTATTAAATTCCAAATCGTACTATTTAACACATAATTTTATTCTTTTAATGTTTAGTTTGCATTGTTTTAATTTTTAACTTATTGCAAGCTTAAAATTAAAAAATTTAGTTTTTATTTTAAAATAAGTATAATTTATATATATGGGATCAGTTGTAACTGGCATAATTTATGAATGAATTGCTGCACATTATGCAAATCAAGTGATTTGTCTTCCATGGATATTTTTGAAATAGATTTAACAACTCAAGAACATTGCATAAATGGATGTCATTTTTTTAAATAATACAAATTCTATATACCTTTCTTCCGCCTTCTTCAAACTTACAATTAAAGTAATTCTAAGTTCGTATGCACAAAACAAACAGTTTTTATGATTATTTTATATTAAATTGTTACTTAATTGATCCGTCATTTCTGCAGACATCTGTTAGTTTTAAAAAGTTTTTAAGTATTTTACCGAAAATAAGACAAATAATCAATATTTGCCAAAAAATATAATTAAACGATCATATATGTAGTCCCTTTTTTTGTGGGCTTTAAACTTTTACCAAAAAATTTCAAACCAAGTGATATGAAGTCAATACAGAATTACAGAGTGATAAAAAAATAGTTTTTTTGCGCTCCTTTTACAAAACCAATCAAATTAAGGCATAAGATAGATCGAGATAAATTATATCCTTGAGCTCTCTTTGACTATTTGCACGGCGAAAATAAAATCAAAGTTGTTCCCTCGCTTTATATAAAGTGCGAGAGCCTGACAGTCCAGCGCAGAGTGCTCATTGAAGAGCGCAGGGAAATAACCGCCCACTCCGGCTCATCAGTTTGATGTGAAGACCATTGTTACGAATTCATGCAGTCATGCTGCCTTATAAATATTTTCGTTGCACACACACACTAGTATACACACAACTCCTCTCACTCCAACAACAAACAACGCACCGAGCACCCATCTCGCCTGCTCAGGCCGCAGCAGTTCCCAAGTTCAATGTTCTTGACCCCAGAGCGCATCTCCGTGGAAGAAGAAGTTTTATTTTTATTATTATTTTTCTCCGCCGACCAACTCTCGGCTCATTTCCTCGGCCGCTAATTATATTTCATGAAAATATGAAGAGGTCGTCGGGTCGCTTCTCTCGTGTAAAAGGCGTTTTTAAATAAATTGTTATCTATTGGCGTAAATCACTCCCCTTGCGCCCATCACGGACCGAAATCTCGGCGCGCTCGTTATTGGCGGCGGCAGTGAAAAATGTGCTGCTGCCAAATGCCAGCAGACTCCTTTTTTTTGCACGCCGCCATAATTTCCCTGCTCTTGCTTAATTTGACGTTTTACACGCTCAATTTGGGCACGCGGATCTCTCTAATTTGGATTGCTCGAAAGTTCATTCATATAAAAATTAGTGCTTCAAAGATGCCATGAATAACAAAAGGAAATTGATGCTTCTCAGGAGTCGTAACTCGCATTCTACTTTAGGGAATATTAAATTTCTCGCGCGATTGGTTTCTTCCTTTCGGGCAGGTGCGTGTTTCTTGACGATTTTCATCACGAATTTTATTTGTTTTTGTATAGATTTCAAGTCATGGATATTATTCTCAAAGCAAATGTCAAACTGATGATTCTCAATCAATAACTCTGACTGAGTGTTAAATTTCCGATTATAGTTATATAGCTGCCGAGCTATCTTATTTTAGCAACCTCTAGAAAAATCTACAGAACCTTAGTATTTCAGTTAGGAAACTTTAAAGTACAAACCAAAAACCAAACGAAAGAAATTAATTAAAAATTTATCACAACTAATACCTCTAAAAAGTTTGTTAACAAGCACTCAAAAACTTAAACTAAAATTTGAAGTCTTAACTTGTTTTTATGAAATTCATTCATTGAAATCAAAATCGAAAAAGATTATTCTATACTTTTACAATAAAAGTTGACAAAGGCATTTTATTATTATTGTTTTCGTTTTTTCTTCTTTTACATTTTACAATTTTCTTTAAATTACTTACGAAATTTAAATCTGAACAGTTCATTTGCACTCAATTTTTTTACTTTTTTTTGTTATCTTTATAAAATTTCTTTAGACTTCGCTTATACGGTTATTTTTATTATTTTTATAGATTTTTCTACTTTAATAATTTATCAAAAGATTGAAATGTAATAAAATCATATTCCCATCTCAAAGTTCATATTACATTGCAAAATTGCTGCTCATATTTGCCAGAAAATGTTGTTCTTTTATTTTCCCTTTCTTTCTCCTTTGGCAACTCCCGTTGTACCTCGGGCAAGGAGGATGTAAATCTTGCGAAACTTTTCCTTCCTCGTCAGAGAGGCCTCTGAGGAATTTTCTTGCGCGAGAGCAGTCGTACCATAAATAGAAACAAAGCGTCGCTTTGATCGTTTCTACAGAAAGTGGCTTTTCTTTTCCCTGCTCGCGTATCTCAAGAAGATAAAGGAGAGAAACAAAAGGCCTTTTTCGTGTATTAGCCAAATAACGTGCATCTCATCTACTGGGAAAACGGAGCTTTCGTCTCAGACACACGCACATTTAGATATTTGTTATCTCGCATTAATGCACCCGTCACAGAAATAAAAGTGCATTATTTGAAAAAAGTATAGCGGCAATTGTCAAACTGGCGGCATCTTTTCCGGTTGCCTGAATTTTCTGAGACGAACGCGCCCCACCTGCTGTGCATTTCTTTTGCAGCGGCCGGTGATTCACGTCACATGGCAGTGACATATTGTCGGAGATTAAAATCTCAACCGCACCGCGCGTCCAAATAAACTAAAACACGATCTGACTAACAACTCATCCGCCTGCTTTAAGCCCTCGATCTTGCACAGCCTCCTCGCCGAGGGATTACTTATTCTCGCTGCCCCGGAGTGAATTAAGCCTCACCTTGCGCTTAACTTAATTCTTAAATTACGCGCGCGTCTACCTGCTGCTCTATACTCGTCTGACAATTATTTTAATCTCTGACTGAAAGTGAGTGGGTTTGTGTACACCAGACTTGACCCCTATAATATACTCAAGCGTTTGTTCGGAAAATTGAATGATGCACTTTTCACATAATGCGAAACAAGAGACCGCAGCAGGTATCAAATCCAGCGTAATGCAATTAAGATTCACATACCTGTTTTGGCTTAAGCAATTTGCTACACGCAATTTTCGATGCATTATTCTCCAGCAATTAATTATTCTTGCTATTTTTATTGTCATTAAATTAATGATTTACTCCACAGTTACATAATAAGGCAAATACAGAAATATTTCTTTTATCAATGAATATCAATGATTCAAAGTTTAACAAATTGCAAACTGAATATTAAAATAAATACAATGAAAGCCGATTACTTCAAATATTAAACTAAGCTCAGCAAATTATTTTAATTATTTAATTATCTTAAATTAAACATTCATTTTCTATTATAATAAAATTGTTTTAATTTTAAATGATAAATTTTACTAAATTTTGTTGCATGCTACTAAATATCTCATATTTTTATTAATTTCATTCATTTATTCTCTCGCAACAGGTCAAAAAAAAATTAATTATCACATTGGGAGAGAAAATTTAATTTTCAATTCTTTGAAGCATATGGCCTAGGTGTGAAAACCAAATAAAAAGACCAGCAGCTGCTGTCAACCTTGCGTTTGCGACTGCTCCTCTCTGGCATTAGTAACTTTTATTTTCACTCGTCTCTTGTCACCACAAATGAGGGGCACACGGTGCAGCCAGGTTTCCCACACGGTTCTGTTTCCACCAGAGTCTGCAACTCAGGGGGCATCTGGTGCACCTGGCAGCAATACATGCGCACCGACCCTTCCTCCCTGAGGACCTTCTTCACGACCTTCTCAAATTCGTCCAGCTCCTCCACCTCAGGGGCAGGCGGAAGGGCAGGCACTGGCTCTTCGGGAAGGGGTTTTCCGTCATTCCTTCAAAAATTTTAAGAAAATTGTGGGAAGTTTAGAATCGTATTAATTTTATTGTTTTTTTTTATATGATCTAATCGTTATCAGCCTTTCCAATATCTTTAAAAATAATAATTTATAATAATTTCCGATGACATTGATATTCTCACAAACAAAAACTATATAAAAGTAAAAAGTGCAAAATTAAATAATAATAAAACAGCTATTAAAAAATTCCAAGGCTACATTATTGCTTGAATTATATAAGAAAATTACATATTTTTATTAATAAAAAAAAAACAATTTTTAAGATAAATATTTAATAAAAATTAGTAAAATAAAAAAAAATTAAAGTTTATAATCATCTGCTATTATATTAGTTTAAAAAATTTACTTTAAACAAAATTACCTGTGCAAATCTTGGTTGCCAGGGTCAGTGATCACGATCGCCAGGTGACACTCACCTGGGGCGACTGTCTCCACAAAGGCAGGATCGTCCTTTTCGGGCACCGGCGATCTGAGGGCGGCCGATTCCGGTGGAGGTGTCACACCTTTGTTCTCGTGGAACCAATTCCGCAGCAACGACTGCCAGAAGCTCTCCTCGACGCTGTCCGCGTTGGTCGGAAGCGTGTCAGCGTCTGTCAGGCCGTAGGCGGCGCGTTCTTTGTCCACGGCGAAACGGCGCAAAGTGCGTGCGGCCTCTTGGGCCTTGTCAAACGCCAAGATGACGCCGCTGTTCCACACCTGGGCCACCGACGTTCTGCTGCACGGGTCCACCGAAGAGCCACTCAGTGTCTAATAACAAAATAAATATAACTTTGCATATTTTTACTGAAAATTATTTCATTTGCTGTCTAGGAGACCATTTTTGACTATTAAATTAATATAGAAAATACCAGAGATATAAGCTATTTTTAATTTGATAAATTTAATTTTTGCCAAATTTTTTAAGACAATTAGTTGTAAATTTTTAATGAAATGTTTGCAAGGCATTTTTATTAATCATCGTTGGATGAATTTATTGGAATTGAATTTAAAATTTAATTATTATAAAATTATTGAATCAATAACAAAATGATTAAAATTTTAACTACATTTTCAGTCATATAGATTTTTTAATAATCCGAGGATTATCAAAAACGAAATAAAGATCCCGTTGCAAAAAATGATCTTATACAATAAAGCTAAAAATAAAATGAAATGAAAATATTATTTTAAATGTTTAAAATTTAATCAGCAAAAGAGGGATCTTGCGAAAGCTCTAGAAACGCCCGAGAGATATGAGGTACTCGGCACACGACAGACAGATAAAAACCACCCCAAATTCTAGGAAAGTGCAAAAAGCGGTAACAAAAATAAATTTCCTCTCTCCGTGCCAACCAATTTTTCATGAGCTTATTGCGTATGCTTAGCCCATGGCGGCCAATACATTTCCCGGCGCTAGTCCGGCATTTGTGTACAAATTACGAATTTATGGGGAAAGCGGCCGTATTGGAGTGGGTCTGACGAGAAAGCAACTCGCATACATTCGCCGAATTTAAGCAAAGGTAAACTCACACTGAGAGCAGGCAAGGCGCTCTCGGCGCTTCTCTTCCACTGATCCCAAAGGGCTCTGGTGTCGCTGCTGTGGCCCCAGATGTGGTTGTCGATGGTCCATTTGATGCAGTAGGCGCCCACGCCGACCTTGGCTCCAAAACTTAAAAAAAAAATTATAAACATTTTTTTTCTAAATTCAAAAAAAATCTTACACTAAGACTCGGTAGGCGAAAAGGGCAGCCGTTGGGACTTCTCGGGGGCTTTCCGGTTTTCCGTGTGTGGTGGGTGTGGGTCTGGCCTTGGGTCGGACGACGGGAGGCACCAACGGCGGACACTGCTTATCGCCGTACGAGCAGAAAACGGGACACTTTTTGTTCTCGGCAGGCAGCTCGTAGCCTTTGGGAACCAGATTTCTTTCCACTTTGCCTTCCAGAAGGGCGAGCGCTTTCGTTTCGGACGAATGCGTGCAAGGGTTCGTCGGTGCCTTTGAAGGGCACAGGGTGTTTGAAGTCGAGGGCGGTTGGGCGGAAAAGAGTCTTGCGCCTCGGTAGTTGCAGTTAATTCTGGCGCTGAGCAGTCGCTGTGGGAGAATTTCAAAGATGGAAATAGTTTAATTAGTTTTGCTTAGCGCAAAAGCGGTACCTTCATTTTCCGGCTGGATTCCTTTTCTGATTCGATTCGCGACCAAAATTCTTGAATTTCAAACAGTTCTTTCAAAAGTGTTTGCAACAATGAGCCACTCTCAAATAATTCAACAATCAGTGGGAAATAGTAAATAGTGTTTATGTTTTGATTGTTGTAACTTGTTTATTTATTTTATTTTATAATTTTCTCCTGTTTATTGATTTTTCTTTTTTCCGATCATTGTAAACCAACTTTATTAACCTTATGCTTATGCAACCTGAATTGCGTTCTTGCGTCAACAGTTGCGTAGTCTCCAGATCTTATTGCAGCTCCATTTGTCATTTTTTTTTTTAAATTTAAATCATGATTTTATTAAATAAGGAAGAATCTTTTAAACACAAAAATTCATGAAAAAATATAAAAATGATTAAAATAAAAAAGCATCTGGAATTTTTGGAAGAAAAATTATTTTGATATTATGCAATAAACAACTGTAATTTTAACCATAACATGAAAATTAGTCCACGGTCCCCTGTTTAATAATAGTCCTTAATAGGACCACATGGAAATAAACTTAATGATGCTCGAGCGTCAGACTCCGAAATAATGTCGTTACGCGCGAGATAATTTTAGCATGCAGAGCGCCTCGCGTTGAACGTGATGACGTTTTGTGCACACATAAGCAATGATAACTTATTTAAGAGCGAATCTAATTTTAGACGCAACCCGCGTTATCGCTCACTCAATTACAGAGCCGTCGTATTTTGTTGTCCAATTAAAGATCGCCCGAGCGCGCCTAACGTAATTAATTCAATAAACTTCTCCTCGTTTGGACGCTTGAGCCACTGTTCGCCAAGTTGCAAATTCGCCACTTGTGGCGGCGCCTCGTTCTTGAATATATTTCGTTCCTTGTGAGGCAATCAGCATTCTGGGTCACCCTTCAAAAGTCTCTAATGATGGATGGAAGTATGATGGATAAGGAGCTGGCAATATCAGTTTTTTAAACATAATATTATAAATAAAATATTAATTATAAAATTTACTTATTTGAAATATTTATTTTGCAATTTATTACACTATTTCATGCATAATAATAATAATTTAAACAAAATAAGAAGTACTATTTTTATTTTTAAAGATTTTTTTAATTATATGAAGCGCAAATGGGTTTGTATTTATTTGCAAAACTGCAAAATCTTTTAGATTGACACTCTTTCAATAAATGTATAAATACGTTGCCCAGCAATGAAAGATCTTAATGCATTATATTAAAATAATATTTTCAACGTGCTAGGAATCCTGGATAGACAATTTTGATAGGTTAATCATTTAATTAATTATGATATGCAAACTATTTTCAATAGACAACAACATTATAATGAAATACATTAATTAAATAATTTAATAAAAAGATTTCATTAAATAAATACAAATTTATCTTTAATAAAAGGAATCAGAATGATCAGTTAAGTTATATTCTAATATGATTATGAACTTCACTTTTTTCATCTTCAATCAGGAGTACAATATAATTATAAAAAAAAATTGAAACCAAATCATGAAATCGCCATACATTCCTCCTCGTAACTGAATAAAAATTATTTTAAGTGTAAAAAAATAAAATTCAATCACGAATTTCTGCGAAATCTCTGAATCATTAAATTATTTTTTCTTCCGCATCCATTTTTGTTTGTTTTCCGCATTTTCAATTAGCGTGTCTGTCATCTCTGCATATCTTTGTGCGTTGCGCAAGGTTTCATCAGCCAGTGGCTGATGCCTTGTGCAAAGCTCGCTCCGCTTCAGCGCGCCCAGAGAGATTTTCACAATTTCCGCGAAAGCCCCTACTTTCCTCCCTTTCCCGGTGAATTAACACATGTTTCAGAATGACGAGTGACGTCAAAGGGCGAATTTCGGTAAATCGACGCGCTTGATCGATACCAAAGGGGTGGCGGCCGCGTCAAAAAATTAAAGCACTCGTGAATTTCACGTTTTTGCAGCCCTTTGGGAAAAAATTCCGTTTGGTGCGAAAATCTGAAGAAAAATGAAATAAGTGAGGATGTCTTGGTTGCCAAATTTTGGTGGATTTGCCGAGAGGCGGCGCGAATCAGGCCATAACAACGAGCGGCTGGCATAGGTCTTGCGCCATCGATCGCCCTGCAGTACCCCAGCAGCAGGGGTGAGCGAGGGTGCGATGGCAACGCCGCCGCGCGCACTTGGCATGCGCCCGCGAGGACACAAGGACTCTCGCTCCATTCTTATCGAGCAGTCAATTCGTTGTTTTGTGCTCGGAGCTGGCTACGGAAAATGAAGCTGCCCTACTCGTGATATGTCGATCTCAGCACAAGGCGTCGTCGAACGGGCCAGCGCCGAACTCACCAAGCGCATCAATGGCCTGGGCCTCCGCACCTCCACCTCCTCCGCCTCCGGGGGGCCGCAGTCCCCCAGCAAAGGCACCAGCGTCATGGAACGGGTGACCAACGTATTCTGCGGCAACTCCTCGTCCTCGTCGGCCAATGGACTCGGGGCCAACGGTGGTCACCGCGGTCCTGGGGGCTACCTGCCCCCGCCTCCTGACAAACCCTCCAGGTACATAAGCTTTTTTCTAAATTATTTATTTCTATGGAAAATGTTTTTTTTTTAATAATTTTTATTTGAATATTTTTTTTCGGTTTTGAATTTTATCCAGTCCGTATTGATGTATTCAGCGCGGAACAAAAGCGATCCATGTTTAAAATATGAGCATGGGCCGTCGGACCGTCAGACGAACTCTTTGTACTCTTGGTCGAATGGATATGTTTGCCCCTCGAGGGGTAGTCATACAGGCACGGCATGTTCTGTTTGCTAAAACGTAGCTCAACAACTTTAAATTCTAATTAAATGACCCTGGAGAATGGTGTAATGTTATATGCATGTCGACGATTTTCAGCACGGAACGCGCTACAGCAAGTGCTCATTGCATTACAATTTGAATTTGATCGCTCGATCAAACTACAATTAATTTTGTTTATTCCGTCCAGCCAATGATAGCATAAGTAAATGGCATATTAAAAATTATTTTATTATTGTCGATCACAATAAAATATTAGAAGAGTATGCAGACGTAGCAATCTTTTTCTAAAAGGCTTTTTAAATAAAACTGAATTCTTAAAAAATATTTAATATACATAGTCTTTTAAAAAGAATTAAAAATGGAAAGGCTGGAAAAAAAATAAAGGATAATTATAAAATGTATTGAATCTAATATTAAAGATAAAAATATTTAAACCATTAAAACATAAAAATTATTGTTTATTTAAAATAAAATGTTTTCAAATATTTTCAAAACAATTAGTCAAACAATTTTATAAAAAAAATATATTTTGTTATTTTGTTGGATGAAAATACACCAAATCTTATTAAATATTACAATAATTTGATATTTTCAGAAGTTTTCCATTGTTTGTTCGCTAATTAGATGTTATCTTTTTTCTTTCGTTGTACATTTTAGATCAAACGTTTGATGTTTACAATCGCTTGCAGGTTCCTGCCTCTGCGCTCCACGTCTGCAGTGGGCAAAGCACACGCGGCTCTGCGCGCCCCCAGACCGCAGCCGCCTCCGCGGGCGCCGCCGTTGGTGGCGCCGCCGCCTCCGCCGCCGCGCGTCTGGCAGAGTTGGACCGAGCTGATGATGGACGAGCGCTTCCTGGCCAGGTTCTTTCACGTCTACTTCGCGCCCGGCGACCGACGGGCATTGCCGCAGGTATGCAACCAGGCACGAGGCGCCGCCGAGCGGGATGCATAAGCGCACTTGAATAGGTGGGAGAGGGATGCGAGAAAGCATGGGGGGTTGCATCCTTCTGAAATTGGTTTCTCTCCCCCCGCACGCGTGCACGAGGGGTGCAGTGTTTAGATATTTTTAATGAGGGGTTAGTCATCAGCTGTGTGATGGATTTTGCACGGCGCGAGGGGTTTGTGTGCACTCAGCACTTTCGGAAGCGCTTCTTTTGGATTAGTATATGGATGGAATATAGAGGCCTCATCCATATGTTTTTGCGGCTCCAAGCACTTTTTAATGCGATCTGTGAAGAATGCGGGGTGGTTTAAAATTTGCTCGTTTTGCTGGATTTTCTACTGGGGTTGTAGTTTTTAATTATTTGCAGATATTGAATAGCAATTTATCGCAATACATAAAATATAAATTAATTTATACTTGTTGAGAATTTCAAACCCAAAGAAACCACTCGAAACGGGAAATAATTAATTTAGTACTTGTACCTAATCGCCCTGACTTGGAATTGCGTTCTCGCCTCTCGGAACGTAATTCCAAGTCAGGGCGATTATTCACAAGTACTAATTTAATTTGTACTTTTAAAATGTTCAATATTTAATGAGGGCGATCCAAACGCATAACCCATCATTTGAATAGCATTTAGGGATTTAATGAGCGTGGGCAAGATAAAACTTTCATGTTAATATTATTATTGACATTTAACACTTTTAATTATTAAAAATAAATATCATATCTTTTAATAGTATATATATATATATATAATTAATACTGAATATTTATTAATATTTTTTTTTTACATTTTAACACAATTTATTTTTATGTAACGATTTACTGAAATTTTAATCATATTTGCCAATTTATTTATTATCAATAAACTCTATTATTATTTTTAACAATTTTTTATTTGGTATTGCTGGCAATGCAAGTCACAAATCTGTTGTTGATGGCCAAAGTCGGCTCTCTCACTGTTACTAGAATGGAATTTTGCTATATTAGTTGGTTATCGGTATTTTTAATTTATTACATTCAAAACAAATAAATTTGGCAGATAACATTTTTTAGGCTGAATAAAATTGTAAAATGTTATTCAACATTTTGGCGTCTTCAGCAGAATGTAAAACAACTTTATTCGCTTTATTTATCGATCTGTACTCTTTATAAAGTGCTGTTGCATGAAAAATAGTTTGGCACAGTCAGTTTGTGTCTTCTTTATGTAAATATTAAGAATTATTCAATAATTTCCAAAAATGTCCGAAAATGCATTTTCTATTCTTAATAATGGAAACAAAAGCAGCATAAAAATTTATTAAATTCATTAAATCTACACCTTTAAAACTATTATAAAAATTTCTATCCAACATAATTATGACGAATTTATAAAAAAAAGTACACAAATTGTTCATCCAAATATTTCTGTATAATACAATAATTAATGAATAATCAAATTTGTTGGATTTTTCACTAGAACCCATTTAAGAAAATGAGACAATTTATGCCAAATATTACACTGTTTGTATCGAAAAGGGCAAATTTTTACTTAAGCCCTTTTTCCACTTGGACTATTCCAATTCTCTTCACGTTCCCATGAGAGAAGCCAGATCCTCGTTCTCGCCTTTTTTCTTGCGTCGGCTGAACGTTTTGCCGCAAAAATGTAATTAGCAAAATACATATATACTTGCTCGGAGTAGAAGGGTTGGTGTGCGCGGGTGCATGTGAGCGCGGCGAGAACGTGCAAAAGCATTCACTCCGCCTAAACAATAAAAATTGCGAAGCCTTTTCACGATGACACACAGCCCGGCTCGCTGCTCGCGTCAATCATTTAGTTTTTTCCGTTTAATGCATTTGAAAGGCCGGCTCGCGGGGTGTGTAATGGAGATGAGAGCAGAACTTTTGACGCTCGTCTCTTTCGTCAGACACACACGGACCCACCGTGAAACGATTAAACTTTAACAAAATCCCTTTCTCTTCTGTACTTTTTGTGCTTTGAATTTGCACTCGCTATCTTTGCTTCTCGCACAAAGGAGACCCGGGGCCCGAGTAGGCAAAGCAAACTTTGGCGTTTCGGAAAAGAAAAAGGAGGGCGAAAGGGGCTCGACGAGCCAGAAGAATGTTACTCGCTGAAAAGCTCCGCTCGGAAGGTCGAAATTAAGAAATCAAAAGCAGGGCTTTTTGCTCGAGTTTCTCGTTTCTTCGAGACTTCTTTGTGCAAGTTGCAGTATATGAATTTTTGCCTCATGAAATAGCAGGCACGGAGGCAAACTTGAGTGGGCAACGCGAAAGTTGTAAATAGCACAATAAGCTACTAGACGTTCATATTTGCTTTGACGTGACGTGTAAATATCAAGTGCCATAAATACACGTTTCGAATAGCAAGATATAAAACTTCTTCCTCAAAAATGAAAATTTTTGCACTACTTTGTGTTAAAAATTATTGAAAGCTAGGTTCATGCCAAGAGGAGTTATCATTTTTCATATTATAAAAATGACTTACGCTTCAAAAATAATATTGAAATTTGAAAAAAAAAAAAAACTATAAATTCTCCAATATTTTCCATCCATATGAAAATGAAACATCATTAACAAAAATATTTAATTAAAAAATTAAGAAAAAATTGCTGGTGGGCCAGTGATGTGCTCAAAATAACGCAATTATTATTCTCTAAATATAAAAATAGTCAAACGATGTGATTAAAAAATTCTATTCAATAGTAATATAAATTTTATTGGTATTTATATTTATTTTAATATAATATCTTTCAATTCTATTTAAATTAATAATTACTCTTGAACAAAGATATATACATACATACCTAAAAATTTGCAATGAATGAGATTCATGATAAATTTTAATTATGATTCATAATTATGAAATAATGGAACGATCAATGGCATAATATGAAAAAAAAATTGCAGCAGAATTGGCAGAAATAATATCATGCCTGTAACAACCAAATTCATCCAAATGATGATAAAAATGAATAATTCATTATGAAATTATAACTTTTTCGTCAAGTGCGAATTAAAAATTTCGCATTATAAATTAATACGAATTTATTACATATATATTTATTATCAACAAAATTTTAAATTACTAGACAACGCTTTACAACTTTTTGAAATTTTTCTTTCGCCGCAAACTTCCTAGAATTCCATTGCCAGGGAGTGGACTCGCTCTCTCGACCCAGTCCTAGGCTAGAGGGTGGGTCTGCTAGTGGGTGCAACGCCCCCGGGACATGCAACCCGGTCGGCTCAATTAAGCCGCTTTGCTTTTTCTGATTGTGTGCTGGCGTGACCGCGCGCCGCTTGTGTTCACAGGTGTGCTCGCTGTGGCGGGACGTGCTTTACTCGTCACCGCGATTCTGGACCGGCCTCATCATGGTGGCGCGTTGCCGCGAGCTAAGGGCGGCCACCCCCGAGTCGCGGCGCCGCTTCTACAACAGCGTCCACATCCGCGGCATGGACACCGTCGCCCTCACCGGTGCCGCCTCCGACGACGACGTCCTTGAGCTGGTCAGGCACCTCTCGGCGCCGGCCGCGCGCAGGATCCACTCTCTTTCGCTCAGGTGCTGCGCAGTCACAGACAGAGGGCTTGAGTCTCTCTTAGCCCATATGCAGGTAAACCTACAAACAATAAATATTTATTATATTTATCATATATTTTACTAATTTTAAATATTTATTTAATAATTTCTTTCACTATTTTAAGTATAATAATTAATAATATACGCAAAATTTACTATTTATTTATTTTTATTTATAATTTTAAGATTCATGAAGTGCAAAGGGGAGTGTATTTCTTTAAAACTACAAAATCGTTTAGCTTGCCACTCTTTCAATAAATATACAAATTCATTGCCCAGCAGATCAAATTCATATTGTTTCTAAGTATCGCGTAGGAATGCGTGGAACCCAAGATGAATGATGAGATGGATCCTAATAATAGATCAAATATTAAATAATTAAAAATATATTCAAATATCTTTAGGTGAATAACTTTAATTTGAAAATTAAATTTAAAAACGATTAAAAAAGTTAATACATCATCAAAAGGTTGAATACATCGATACAGGTTTACTTTAAATAAAATAAATCGGAATGATCAGTTAAGTTAATCTCTATATAATATCTGATTATGAACTTGGCATGATATCTCTTTTATCATCTAAAATCATAGTTTTAATAATTAAATGTTAAATACCATCGAGTTTTTCGTATTAACTCTATAATTAAAACTAAAAGCTAGCAAAACAAATAACAATCGTTTTGTGCAAAACTAGCGTTGAATTTTCTCGTTGCGCTATTAATCTCTGAAATTGTAAATTATTTTTTATAACTACATAAGTAGCATTGAAATAAAAACATTATTGCGAGAGAAAAATTGATACCTGATTGGTCTTAACAGACAACAATTTTTAAGATTTGAAGGGGCTTGGTAGCCACCATGGCCGTTCTCTTTTTTAAATTTACTTCAAAAAATAAGCTCAGCTATTCCATTGTTATTTTCGTGAGTAATTAATGAACACGTTTTTCCCCTTGAATGCAGGGTCTATTCCAATTGTCGTTGAGCGGGTGCAACGAAGTGACCGAGGCAGGACTTTGGGCGTGCCTGTCGCCACGGATCGTCTCTTTGGGCATCTCCGACTGCATCAACATCGCCGACGAGGCCGTCGGCGCCGTAGCCCAGTTGCTGCCGTCGCTCTACGAGTTCTCCCTGCAGGCCTACCACGTGACTGACGCCGCCCTGGGCTACTTCAGCCCCAAGCAGAGCGCCACCCTCTCCATACTCCGGCTGCAATCGTGCTGGGAACTCACAAACCACGGCGTTGTAAATATTGGTGAGAAAATGGTTTATTTACTTTTAAATTTAATTCCATTTGGCCTTGATATACAGCATGATTTCAATAAGCACCGGCAGGTTCTCCTCCCCTGTGCGATCGATTTTGAATATATTCACAATCGTAAAGTGCAAGAGCTCGTAAAATTTACTGACACCTCTATGAGCGCGTGGTGTGTTCTCTGTGGAGGATCGGCATAGAAACGGTGGCTAAAGCGCACATCTCCTCCTGTATGTGTCTTTGAACTACTGCGGGAACGTGCCTTCTCCTCTTTTGATGAATCACAATGTGGGCTCAACTAGCAGCTTGATAGGGAAAATTAATATTGAGTTACGCCTGGCTGGGTGCAAAAGAGCTTTTGCAAGGCTGGCTATTCAGGGCGCGCCGCTCAAAGCACTCGGGCCGGTGGCATGAGCTGCTCCTCACGGGGACAAATTATTATTTTACGTGAAGGTCCGCTACATGGATTATTCAGGATCATTTTTCAATCTGCTCGCAGTTCATTCAATTAATTAACCTTCTGTGAATTTGCTAATGATACTACTTTTGAGCCCATTAACATTTTCTTCTAAATGTTCCAATATTTTCAAAATAAAAATATATATTTGAGATTTTAAAAAGACGTGGAATAGTGGACACTGAAATAAAAAGCCTTTAAACAAAATATTCCATTCAGATGAAATTTCACTCACGATCATAAAACAAAATCAATATGTACTATTGAAACATAAAATTCTCATTTAATTTAATAATTATGTTAGAATTTAAGATACCAAATTGACATATTTACGCAGGTGTTAACTTCTATTAAAAATATTTTTATGTCCACCACAAACTCCATTGCACAAAATTTATTTGCAATGCATTTCAAACTCTGCTGATTGACCTGAGCCTCCTTTTAGAGTCAACTGCTGGACAATTAAATGTATTACAACTCCACACACAGCTATTTCAACGGCCCAGCTGTCGTTCTGGCTCGAGATCAAGTTGCGTGGTTAACCCCTCAGCTATAAACAATCAATTACTCGGAGGACGAGAGACGTTCCTCCGAGTCATTTGCTGCGCTCACAATCAATTAAAATGTTTATCAGCGACAACAAACGCGCTTCATTAATTACACTCAAGCGAGACGCAAAATCAATTGGCTCCAATTTGTTAAATAAATTGGGACGACTCGATCGTCTTTCACAGACTGCAGAATGTTGGGGGAAAAAACTTGTTTGTCGCGAGACGCTTATTTTTCGCGTATTAGATTTCGCTCTGCGATTATCGATTGGCAAGGTGCGGGTCGCCGCGAAATTTCCGTTTGTCGCTTTTGATTCTGTTCGTCGAGCGTGAAAAGGGCGAAATTGAGGAGACGGGCGCTTTTTCCTGCTTGTGTGCCCTGGGCCTATTTCAGTCTCAATTATGATGCCGGCTGAATTGATAATCGATAAGCAGCATTCTCGGTCACATAAAGCCTCTGGTCCTGTCTCTCTTTGTGGCGGCCACCAACAAAAGGTCCTTTAATGAGATATATATGTATGGATATACGTAGAGTTTATTTAAGGCATGCTTTGGCAAGTGCGGTATCGCTTCATCCGACTAGCTGCCGGCTTTGCGGGCGTGTTTTTTCGACGGTGCGGCCGCGCAGCTCTTTTGTGTGCTTCCATATCGCATTTGCGCAAGCAATTTACATTGCGAGAGATTACACGCGGCCGTTTCCCATCGAAATCCGCGAACAAAAACCTTGTTACTGTTTGTATTTTAGATGCAAATCCTTGGACTAATTTTTCTTGTTTATTTAGAGATCTGATAAAATTTGTATTATGATTCATTTTCTGATGAAAATCTGCTTTAGTAACAAGTTGAACCGAGATTCAAATTTATGTTTCTTTTTAAAAATCTTATTTTAATCTTAATCATGTGATAATTTAATCTTCAACAACTCTCCTCAATTGAATAATTAACATCAATAAAAATTAAACAGTTTAAAATGCAAAAACATTTAATGACTTGTATTATATTTTATACTTGTTAATTATTTTATTATAATAAAAAAATGTACACAGAATGGACATACACAAAATTGAACTAGCATAATAGATCACAATGAAGGCTCTACTTAAAATCTTAATTATAATTTTATATTTTATTTATTTTAAAATTAACTTAATTTATTAAATCTTGCGCTATAAAATAGCCAAATATTTTTTATTATGAAGTTAAAAAAAGTTTTTTAATTTTTTTTCTTAATTAAATAATTTAATTATTAAGATTTGTATCATTTAATAAAAGGAATTATCTAAAATTTAATATTATTCAAATTGAAAGAAGAAATAATTAAATAATTTAATTTAAACTTAAAAATTTATTAATCCAGACCCATTTTATATTTGTTTCAGTTCACTCTCTACCGAATTTGACCGTCTTGAGTCTCAGCGGTTGCAGCAAAATCACAGACGACGGTGTCGAACTTGTGGCGGAAAACTTGCCAAAACTGCGAAGCCTCGACATTTCCTGGTGTCCACGAATCACAGACGCCGCCCTCGAGTACATTGCCTGTGACCTTACGCAGCTTGAGGAGCTCACCCTCGACAGGTAAGTGAAAATGCGGCTGCACATTATTTGGTATCATTTTTATCTCCGACAACCCCCTGCTGGATGTCTTTTTTATTTTCCGCAAAGAAAGAGAGATAAAGGAAGGATTTTACTGTGAGCTTGGTGCACGCAGACAATTTTTTATGGAGCATTTTCCGTCTTGAAGCCCTACTTGCGGTGATTTTTTCCAAGCTTATTTTTTTCCTGCAGTGCGCTCCCATAGTGAAGAAACTTTTTAACTGCTGAATGTGGTAGTTGATTAAGTCGGAATCCTTACTTACTTGATGAAAAAATTTAAGAGGATTCTCAAAAGCTTAATATAAATAAGGAAGCTTTCTTTTTCAAATTTTGCCACTTTTGTGTGCGTTGCAATAGAAAGTTAATTTAAATGCAAACCTATCCTAACAAAGTACAAAGTTCAGAGTCAACTTTGTCACGTCAGGAAGCACCGATGGCTGGGAGGGGGGTGTGAAGCGCAAAGAGGTCAAGGGTGTCTTACATAATCGCCGAAAGGCTCGAGCACCACTAGTCGACTTTGGTTCCCTCTTATTTCCCGACTTGATGTTGGCTCTTCTTCTTATTCCGCTCCACCAGTGATGAATCAAATCTGTCACTCACTCACGGTCGGCGCTTCCGGCGCTGCAAATTGACCCCCTCCGTCTCTCCTCACCTTGACCCTGCAGCTCGATTGATTGCCAACCCCGAAACGCCGCCACCGTCTGGGGGGTGATTTCGACCACTTTTTGCTCATCTTCGCGGCGCCCCAGGTGCGCGCCTCGGTGTACACGCGCGCGTAACACATTGCCATGGCAACTCATCACTTAAATTGGAGCCGCGCGGCAGGTGCTTTTGTTTCCCCCTGAATGCTCGAGCGCCGCTTTTCCACTTCTGCGAGACGCGCTCCGTGTTTATTTTTGGGTTGAATCAAAGGAAAACGACGCTGCGTGACAAAAGAACACAAACGACTAACTTGTGCGCTTTTTGTTCGCCGCTCGGCCAAAATTGGCGAATAGTTGCACGTGTGTGCGTATTTGTTCCGTAGAGAAAAAGAATTTCCGGGAAATTTATTTCGTCTGCTTCATTAGTTGCTTCCGAGAATCAAGAAAATATAATAAAAGGAGATTGGTTGTGCTGAAAATAGACGAGAATATCGGGTTTTCAGTAAGAGGCTCATCACTTCAAACAATAGCCCAACATTCATGATCATGAAAAAATCATTCTTTTTTTTTTAATTTCAAAGCAAAATGTTCGTCAAATCGAATGAAATGTAAAATCAGTCTGTAGTGTTGTTGCAGTTTTACTTCTTGTTTATAATTTCATTAAAAATTTTTTCAGTAAGTTTTTCTTCGTAAATTTCACTCATCGCAAGAAAATTATTTGTATAAATTTCAAAAATTACTTTCTACAAAAAAAAAATTAATAATATTTTTTTTAAACTCCAGTTAAAAATCTTTTAAAGGACTTAAATGTGAAATAAACCTAAAACAACCTGTCATTTTTTAACCAGATTAACTGTTCATACATGTTTTTCCGGGTTTTGTTTGACACACGTGTGTTGTATTCGGCTTTTAACACACAGAATTTTCACCCTTGCCATTTGGGCATCAGTCGGAGTCAGGTATCACCGCCGCGGGTTGTTATGTATGCGTGCAATAAAAGCGAGGGCTGCTGCTCTCAGACTGCAAACACACACTCATGTAACACTCTATTAAACGCCAACGCCAGAGTGTCGCGCAGGAGACCAGTGTGCTTTGTTTCAGCCGAGAGCCGCGCTTTTGCATAAGAGGCGGTGCGGATAATAAAAACGCGTGTGGGTGTTAAATCGAGGGAATTAAGTTTTAGCCTTAAAAGGTGGCAGATTTCGTTATATAGCGGCGTCGGATCTTATTTATTCGCAAATTTAGAAGCGCTCGAGCTGGGGCATAACTTGATTATACGCCTTCTCCTCAGGAGTGCTGCTTTTTCAACGTTCTCAAACAAAATGCGATTATACCCTTAAAGCCGAGCAGCCTGAAGACTGTTACAAACAATTCAGATACACAATATTTGCATATTCATGAAATTCAAGTAGAGATGATACGAATATGAAAAGATGCTTTTTCCAAATAAAATAAACTCTTTCCTTTTCATCAGTAAAGAATTTTTTCCTTCTTTGCTTTCAGGTGTGTTCACATAACGGACATAGGCGTGGGCTACATCAGCACGATGCTCTCCCTCAATGCCCTTTACTTGCGCTGGTGTTCGCAAGTTAGGGACTTTGGACTTCAGCATCTGTGCGGAATGAGAAATCTCCAAACACTTTCACTAGCTGGTAATTCACTTTCAAATTTAACCAAAACCCGCAAATTAAATTCAAATATTTATTCAATTTAAAAAAAAATATTCTTCTTCAACTTCTAAATGAAATAAGAAATCATTCATTTTTTTTATTAATTTTAAACCAAAGTCAAGGTTTAATATTCTGAAATAATCTCTCAGTTTCTCTAACATAAAAAATTTAAAAATAAAATTCATATTCCAGGCTGCCCGCTGTTGACCTCGAGTGGCCTGTCCAGTTTGATCCAATTGCGGCATCTGCGGGAACTTGAGCTGACCAACTGTCCCGGCGCTTCGCAGGAGCTGTTTGACTATTTACGGGAACATCTGCCCCGCTGCCTGGTTATCGAGTGAGCGTCTGTGCGAGCACGCATCAAGTACAATCAAGCAGAGACATTTGCATCATAAGGAATAGTGTCGTTGTGATAAATATCCTCTTTTCTGATTTCCTCTCTAGTCCCTCTGGTGGTGATTGATTTTTTAATGTGCAGACACTCGCATGTGAGAGACAAAAGGAACTATCGAATCAATTAACATAACACAACTAGCTATCAGTTGGTGCCTACAAATACATTTACTATATTTAGAGGGGGTGCCTGCACATCAAAGATAGCGGCTGCTGAAATGCAACACGTTCGTGTCTCGATTAGAACAATAATGTAAATACTGACATGTTGAATTATCGGTCTCACTCACTCACAAAAATCACCTCACATGTGTACACACTCTCACTCAGCTTTGGTACTCTTTGCATCATGTACCTGACTGCCTCAGCAAAATTTACAATTTTCTCATTTTCGCCTCTCTCTTTGCAGCTGAGACTTGAATAAATACTTCTTGCAAGGCCCCTTTTTTTCGAATAAAAAAGTGAAACGACTTGAGATTTAATTATATACTCATGCGTGATTATAACACAATTATGCATTATTAACATTCAAAACAGGCCTTGAGCAATAAATGATTGAGGAAAGTGAAAATTGTTCCACCGTCATTTCCTGTTTTTGCTAACGCAGCTCAAAAACGTGTAACATACTTAAATAGCGTACTGGTTTTGTGTTTCATTTCCCAATAAATAAAAACTATATATTTCAAAATGCATATTTCCCACGAATTTTATTGAAATTTTCACTGTACAAAAAAAATGAATTAATTTTTTCCGCGTCAAATTTCTGGCCCATTTGCCACAAGAATAACAAAAATTGAATTTCAGGGAGGCAGACCAAAATTTTCAGGGGCTAGAAGTGCATTTTGACCATAATATTCAATAAAGTATAAGTTTTAATATCTTACAAAAATTTACATACTAACTAAGGTCAAACATCTTCCTCGTCATCTTCTGCTTCCTCCCCCATTTCAGCATCTTCCTCCTCTTCACCTTCCTCAGTTTCCTGATTCCACCATGATGGAAGACCAAGACCAGACTCGCTTATTTTGCCCTAAATTTAATTGAAATTTTAAATAATTTAATTTTAAGTTTAAAATTGTCACTTACAATAATTCTGAATGGGGTGTCCTTACTTGTGTCCAGAATGGCACCTCCGGTTTGGTCAGCAGGCTTAGGGGTTGTGTCGTTGAACTCCAGGTCAACCACCTTAAATCTTATGTCATCACCTGGAAGTTTTTCGTTTTCAGTATGAATTCCATATATAGAAGGAAAAATTATTTTCACTGCAGTACAAACCTTTTTCAACAACCATTTCAACAGGGTCCGACTCCTGGTCAACTTTGTACATCCAGATCCAAGTGCTCTGCACTTCATTGAATTTTGACGGACACTGCATGTGCATTGGAGGAATCAAAATGTCATCAAAAAAGGTGAGTGAGACTGAAAATTGAATCGAAGCAATATAAGTAAAAAATTGCAATTTATTTTAATAATTTTATTGAATTAATACCATGGATGCCTTCGTTGTCGCACAGCTTCACTTTTCCCTCGATCGTCTCTTCCTTGGAAGGGCAGAAGACGACATACCGGAAAGTGACCTTCATGTGAGCAGATCCATCACCAGGAATAATGTGCGAGTCGCCGATGTGCGTGATGTCGTACAGGCAAATGCAAAGACCCACGTTGATCACAACTTTGTTTGCCAGTTTCTTGTCCAGCTCGTTTGAGATCGACTCGTTCCGAGATTTTCCAAAAAGATTCGGAGTGATTTTGACCACCATTCGGAAAGTTCGTAAGAAAAACATCTTGGCGAGCTAGGGACACAAAACTGGAGCGAAAAATTGCAAATTTACAGACGGGACCATCACAACCACATATGAACCACAACCATGCCGCCTGCCGCCCTCTGATTTTGTTTTTGTTTGGCTCGCCAGCTGGAGCGATCGTCATTTGTTTCCGTTCGCGCCACAGCCAAAATATTCGCAGCTTATTTTCCATTTTTTTATTTCTTGCCATTTTTCGATAGACCTATGAGACTGGAAAAATGTTCTTGAGTTGAATTCCACTGTTGAAGTTTTTTCATTATTTTTTTAATGCTATTCCCACTTGTCAGGCTGTCATGATCAAGAATTTTCTTTAAAAAATGTCCGACTCACAACTCGACACTCCAGGAACAACCAGCAGAAAGGTTTCAATTTTATTTTATATTATTAATTTCGTCCATTAATATTTTATTTATCTTTCAGCGCCTTTTCAATGATGCGTTTCCCGCAAGCCAAAGTTCTGCATTTCACGCACCTTCGCAGTATATAGTGAACTTCCCAGCGAAATTTGAAAAACTCTTGCAAGAAGTTGCTTTCCAACAAGATGATTTGCTTGAGTCTGCAAAGAGGAATAAATCTCGGGCAACGGTTTTTGTTGCCAAGCAGCTTATATCTGACAAAAAATTTTCCAAGATTGCGCTCGGAAAACTCGTCAGGAATTACGTAAGGGCAGAAATAATTTTGTATAACGAAAATATAAATTATTTTTCAGTCACTTCCCTTAGAATTCCTTTGGATGTTGCAATGCGCAGAAATACTCCACTTCAGTCTCTACGTTCCTGCGTAATTGATTTTGTTATTATTTAAATTTGTTTATTTATTTTAAATACAACCACACAGTCAATCGGATGAAAGTTTGCGATCACTCGGAAATCGCTTGGCTACTTTTCTGAGCCAGTCGCAGGACAATCCACAGTTCAGCTCCATATCTGGAATTTCGATTGACCTCATGACAAGCTGCATCATGCTGGTCCACGGCCCAGACCCACCGCCAAATCTCAACCCAGTTCGAAAGGCCTGCAGGACTTTGTTGACCCACGCTTTGAAAGAATGTCACTTTCCTCTTGATGAAAATGATAACGGTATTTATTTACACAATCAAATGATCTTTTGGTTGGCAGCACTGCTTCGGTAAGGAAAACACTGGTTTAGGAGGGTCGTGTGTCTAATTTCGCCTTTTTTCCCTGAGTTGAAGGCCATGGCATCTGCACATGTGCCGTGGAGGTCACCACAAGGGTACGCTGCCCAGCCACCCATAAATTGTGGCCCTTCTTACGGACATACAGAAAATAGAGCAAAATTCCATCATCCAGCATGGCCCGAAGGAACTCCACCCACCCCCGGACAGGAGATGGCGCCAAACCCTCTGCAAAATGGAAACAATGGACCAGTTCTCAACTCAGGAGGTTTTGGACAGACTTACGCAGGAGGTCCGGCTCCTCCGGGAGCTGTAGTAACGTTGGAGGAAATCATTCAGCGTGTTTTCCAGCATGTCACGCTGCAATTCTCAAATCAGCTCAAAATTCAGAATGACCAACTTGGCGAAATGTTCAGTAAAACAGTATCTTTGATGCAGGAGGAATTCGAAAAGGAACGTTTGTCCTGGAAGGAGAGAGATGAGAAGCACGAGGCTAAGCTGAGGGAGCTTGAGCGGAAGGTCCTTTTCTACGAGAAGAATGCAGAAAATGAGTCGAGCGGTACAGATAACAGACGGAGGCAATTTCACGGCAGGTATCAGAGAGGTTATTATCCACCAATTGCTCCTCTGACAAAGGCTGATGACACACCCTGCGTGAACCAATACATCGATCGCTCTGCCCAACTCGATGAGGCCCTGAAGAATGATGAGTCGCTCGCAGTGGAGGGAGCCAAGGTCAAGTTTGTTGAACATCAAGGGGTCAGTCTACTGGATGCCAAGCAAGAGATAAAGGCACACGCCATAGCCTCTGATCTCTGGACCAGCATGGGGGCTGCACAAGAGGTTACGGCGGCGGTGGGCAAACCGAAAGCTGAGCCGGGAAAGACTGAAATAGGCGGAATCATCAGAGAGAAGACTGAAAAGTACGGTACTGTGTTTCACGTGGTAACTAAAATGAGGTCCCCCCACAAGTTGCACAAAGCACCTGAGCCTTTCCTAAAGGGAGTGAAGACTGCATTTGCTAAGCTGGCCCAAGTCATTCGAGAGGAAGAGATTGATGAGATTGCAATGACCTACATGTGCAGTGGCATGGACAGGCTGCATCGCCTCTGGGTCTTGGACACTCTGTACGAAGAACTTCGAGATGTCCCTGTCACTGTTCATCTGTACAACAAGTATGTCTCCAAACGCTGGGGAAACTGTGGGAATTTGTTCAACCCAAAGGAGGCCGGAGAGGAAGAAGAAGAGACTGGAGGGAAGCCGGATGACGGAGAGCAGCTAAATGATGCCCCTAATTCGCAGACTGTTGCACCCAGGGAGAGAAGCAAGCGCAACTGTGGTGCTCGTGAGAAACTTTCTTTATAGATTTCCCTTGTCGAAACAGCGACGTGAGTAACTTAAAATTAGGGCTTTGGAATTGTGAAGGGCTTACGAAAGCATATGAATCTCCGATTGCAACAGAACTGCAAAATTATGATATTCTTCTTTTCACGGAAACATTTTTAAAGAAACCACTTCACATTCCTGGTTTTTATTCAAGGCAAGTTTTAGCTTCACAAAAGGAGGCAGGGCGACCGATGAGGGGAATTTCCGTGTATTTTAATTCTAGGTTAGGAAATTTACTAAATGTGAAATATTTGGAAAACTTCATAATTCTAAATTTTGATGACATTACAGTAGTAACATGCTATTTAAATCCGAAGATACGTTCTACAACAGTGACTAATGAACTTCTCTCAATCCTTAAATATGTTGAAAATTTTGAAAATTTCATTTTGGCTGGAGACTTTAATTGCCGACTGGATACTAAAAACAGAAAAATTGACTCGCTGCTTGATTTTGCTGAGGAAAACAGTCTGACAATAGTAAATGAATATCCATATAAAAGTACCTACGACTGTAGTAATGGTCATAGTGTGGTTGATTTAATCTTCAAAGGGCCAAAAATTTACACCGAAAATTTTAAAATTTGCCCAACCATAAGAAAACATAATTTTATTTCAATAGAATTTAATTTCACAAAACAAAAGAACAGAAATGGGGACATGTCTTTGAATAAGAAAAATTTTAAATTAGATGAAAACATACTTAAAGAGCTTATTGAGACTAAATATAAAAATATTCTAAGAACAAACCTGGAAAAGGGGGACGTTGAAGAGTTTTATAAAAATATGATAAATATTATGAAAGAGGCCGACATTCCTCGTAGGCAAACTGAACGGATTAGTCAACCGTGGTTTGATTCTGAATGCTACGAATTAAAACAGAAATTGAACGAATGGAGAGAGTGCTTGGAAGTGGCTGAAAGTTTAAATGTAACTAGTATAATCAAGATTCTATTACCGCACTATACCGCAATAAAAAGAAATTACAAAAATGTGTGTGAAATGAAGAAGAACGCTTTTGTGCAAATGAAGGAGTTGGACATTTTAAAAGAGGCGGAGCAGAATAAGTGCTATAAAATTCTCAAGTTGAGCAAAAGTTTTTACAATACAAACAATATAATGATGGATGAATGGGAGTGCAATTTTGAAAAAATTTTCAACGAGAAAAAATTGAGTGAAAATGAATCGTTAAATCTGAAAGAGATGATAGTAGATTACAGAAATGATATAAATTTTTCACCTATTATGGAAGAAGAAGTTTTGTTAGCATTAAAGAAAATGAAAAACGGGAAATCCCCTGGACCTGACAAAGTGAAGAATGAAAATATTAAACTACTTGTTGAATCCTTACTCCCCGAAATAACGCAATTTTTCACCAAATGCTTGGAGCTAGGAACATGTCCAGAGGAATGGAGGCAGTCAAATCTAAAACTCTTGTATAAGGGAAAAGGGGACGCGGAAAATACAAATTCATATAGAGGAATATGTATTAGTTCGGCTTTTTACAATCTGTTAGATCGTGTACTGCATGCACGTATCTACTCATCTTTGATTCACGAGATTCCAGGCAATCAATATGGTTTTGTGAAAGGAAAATCCACTTTACAGGCAATTAAGTCCTTAGTTAATAACATTCAAGAGACAGTTTATAAGAAGAAATCACCCTTATATGCCTTATTTTTGGATGTAAGTAAAGCTTTTGACTCAATAGATAGGGCGTTTATTTTTAAGAAGTTAATAGAAAGCAAGAAGCTAACGTTCACGGAGTTAAATTATTTAGCTCACAACTTAGACTTAAATTTCTTGAGAATAGTAGATGGAGTAACAGTATCAAAACTTATTACACAATCAAATGGGGTAAGACAGGGGGGATGCACGTCCCCATTTCTGTTCAATTACTCTTTAGCTGATATAAATAATATTCTACGAGATTTGCCAAACGTGAAAGCCATTTATTATGCAGATGATATTGTTTTAACCTCAGAAAAATTAAGTGACTTGAAAATTGCTTTAGCCAGAATGAAAGAATTTTTGTTAAAACGCAGTTTGAAACTTAACTTGGAAAAGTGCAAATTCATGAAATTTAGAAATAAGGGTCTAGGAAAATATGCATTAAGTGACCGCCTAGATTTAGGTGGAATTGAAATAGAGAGAGTTGCTGAGTTTACATATTTAGGAGTTACTTTTCAACCATCAGGAATCTCTTTTGGAAAGCACATTGAAAAAAGAACAAGAGCTGCATTGCTGGCCACTTATAATATACGAGAACTAAAACAATTATCCATTGAAACAGCACACAAGCTATTTGATCTAAAAATTTCCCCAATTGCGTCCTACGGCATTGAAGAAATATGGCCTTTCCTAACAAAGACTGATTTTGAAAATCTTGAAAAAGTCAAAACAAGATATTTAAAAAGAGTTTTAGGACTGTCCAAGTATATTAGATCTAGATTTGTGTATGAATTAGTTGACACTGATCTCTTTGTATCGGACTTACAGGTAAAATATTCTCTAACTGAAACTGAAGCATTCCAGAAATTTTGTGTGTCTAAATATTTAAACAAACTTGAGATATGTGATGAGTTCTACGAGACAGAAACTATGAAGAATAAAAATTGGCAATGTGCAATGTTCAGTGATCGCCAAGTGTTTACGAGATTTGCCTGTCACGGGTACCACTATTTATTTTGTAAGAATAAAAATTTTCATTCTCAAGCGACAATAGATTGTGAATGCAAGCACTGCGGTAAGAAATGTTCACAATATCATATTCTTGAATGTAATGAACGAAAACTAAGCCTAAGAGAGGCTGCAAAAATCAAAATTAACTAATTTTGTACTTTGTAATAATTATCGAAACAAGCTTAATTGTAAAATTAATTTTAGGAAGACAAATTAGCTTTAGACACCCGTTGTACACCTAGTTGTGTTCAATAAATACTCTATCTAAATGATCTTTACATGTAAATTTATTTTCTCTGCAGCTCCTTGGTGGTTGTCTCAGCTTGTGGACAAGATTCCCAACCAAATTTTCCACGGCTTCGCGGAAAGCCTTCTCGAAATCAAACTGACGTCTGCCCCCATCAGCTCGTACCGAGCTCTCGTCGAACAGGCAGAGTGGAAGGAGGGACTTGCAAGTTTCAGAATTGTATTGTTTGTAATTTTATATTTATTATATTAATTCAAAAATTTTCCATGCAGTTGCTTGATTCACTTGGCTCTTCCGCTGAAGCCCTGAACGTCCTGGTCAAAGTCATTAATAATGCCCACGAAGTCAATTGGAAAACTTTGCTTATTTGCGTCTCGACATACGTGCGCCTGTTTCCAGATGGAGACAAAAAACTATCAGGTATGCAATACTTTTATTACTTAAAATTAAATCACTGATTTATTCTAAATTTCAAACAGACTTGATCTCTACTTGGCTGTCCGAGTCTTTGGCTGGCGAAGACCGAGAAACTTTGCTGCTAGCATTTCTCGTTTCTCGACAGTTGAGCCACACAATCCCATCTTCTCCCTACGCGTCGTGGTTCAGGAAAACGTTCAACCATCAAAACACCCCTTGCAAATCCAACCATCAGTTCAAGTTCCTGCTTGACTTTTTGAGCTACCTTGTCCAGTATGATTCACTTGTGTACTTGAAAACTCATTACGATCTGGTAAAAATAATAACCCGTCACTTTTTGTATTTAATCTAAAAAAATCAATTATACAGCCACCCTATGTACCAAACAACATGAAGTCATTGCTCCAGGACTATCAGAAAGTTGCTTATACCAGAATGCAAGACTTGAGGGATACTAGTGAAAATTTAGGCATTTTCCCTCCTGATCGAAAATTGAAGTCAATTGTACGGTTCTTATTTTCAAGTTTTTGAAATTTACAAGTTTCAAATTTTTAGGATGAACAAGTTGAGTATGATTTGGACAAGGCCATTGAATACTACGAGACAAACAAGAAAGTTCATGACCTCATCTTCAAGACCTCTATTTGTAGAAAGAAGTACTTTGAGACCAATTTCCTTCCAGCCCTACTGAAGCCTAGGTTAATACTTTCTTTTTGCTATATCCATGAGAATGCTCAAATGTTTTCATTACAGAGCTGGAATCAAGCCAAATGATGCCCAAACGCGCCTAGTGGACAACATGTTGAAAGCGAATAAGATAAGTAAAACTCAATTCGAAGCGTTTCATGCGTTGTGTATTCAGAAGATGTGAGAGGCTTTGTTAATATTTTCTCAGATATTCCTTTATTGAAGAACTTTATAAATCAGAGTTTATATATATTTGGAAAATGAGGATGCTTAATAAAACAGCATTCGTTTTCAATACATGCGGTTTCCACCTGAATTTTTTTAATTTTGTGAATGAAACACGTATTTATACAGCACGACTGCTAGGCCTTCTTGGAAACACGGCGGCCCTAACCGGCGGCACTTTTTTATAAATAACAAAATCTATAAAGAGATTAATATTTTGCATTGTTCACTTTTACAAAGGGCTTCTCTGTGAAATGGCCATCAGACACACACAGCTACATTTTTTTTTAAAACCAAGCAGTGACATACAAAACCAAAGGTCTTCTCATTCATATTTTTTTCAAGGTATCAAAAGTAATAACAATTTAACATTTAATATCATCCAAAAATTAATTACCAAGCATTTTTCCAACACTATAGAATTCCGTCGCTTCCTACAAGTTTTGTTTTTTAAATATATTACTTTACATTAGGATTATATTATTTAACTCTTCTCTCTGATGAAAGTACCACTTCAGTGCATCGGTTGCGCTGAACACTTTTTTATCGCAAGCAGAAGCTGATTTTTTTTTAAATAACAATCACTCTTGGACATGGAAAATGCTTGGTGGTGCTATTTATTAAAAATATGGAATGACTACGTGTTACAAAATGGGCTTAAAATAATTACACTTTATTCAGTCTGGAACATGAACTGTGGCTAATCAAACCAACACCAATTTGTGGAGACACAGAGTGCAATTGACAACTACTTTGATATCCATAAGCAGACATTGAGATTTACACATTTTTTTTTTTAAATTTTTTGTAATAATATGAACGGCGGTACAAGGGGGTTGCTACTGATGATTAGGAGATATCACATTATTGAGCCATACAATCAATCAATAAAAATTATTACTCTATAAGGCAACTGCTGCTTGAACGACTTGCTGTATTTTGTCGGATTTTCTTATTCGCCTGTTGGGGGTAGCGTAATTTCCGTTGAGTTAGTTTTATCTTCTTTTTTTTTTAATTCGCCTCTGATGGTTGACACTAAGCTCTGAAAAGCTTTTTACAAACACTTGAGCCTAATTATCAAAATGAAGAAACTTTTATTTTTGCGATGGCTCAACCTAATTCTTTCACATTTAGTTATATTTTAAGGGGTTGCACTACTAATTAATCGTGGTTTGGTGTTTTTGATTACACATTTTCTGCTTCAAATCCAGCTAAATTTGGATTTCGTGGCACAGACAATGAAAGGGAGGTTAATTTTTAGCCCTTCTCCAGTAACAATGTCCATTATGCACGTCTCAAGACGTTTCTTATGTGATCAGAGCTTTATGAGGTGTACTTTATATTATGTTTTATTTTTCTTATGTTCCTCCAACAGTGTCTCTCTCTCTCTCGCGTCAACTCCCGACCTGCACCTTTTAACTTTTAATGTAGCGAGTCCGGTTGAATATTTTAATGATAATCGAGAGGCGGGATTGCCAGGATTTGCGCTTAAAACGATGAGATACATATTTATCAAAATTTTAACAGCTCTCTAATATTATACATAACAATTCGTTTGAAATTTCAGTAATCGCGCGGTCGTTTGGAATGCACTGCATCAAAACTGAGCTTCACAGTTTGATAAAGAGTCATAAACTTGATAACAATTGAGTACATTGGAACACACATATTGTAAATACTTCATCTTTTTTTATGCTTTTTAATCTTGCTTTAAATATGCCTTCATTTCTAAATTCTCAAATTTCCCTCACGTATTGTCACAATTCACTTGTCTATAAATATATCTTCCTACGCCACTTATAAGTTTAAGTATTTGATTGATTACAACGATTGCTGACTCTAAAAATATTATTATTTTCCGTTTAATGCGCGTCTGTTTATAGTTTTGTGTTATTACAAGGTGTTGTTATTTCTTTTTTGCTTTAAACGACATTACGTGATGGAAATAATAATAATTTAAAACTGCTCGCTCCCTCCCGCACTCTCTAGGTAACATTTAATTATCAAAAGCCTAACATCAAGATTTTAGTTAAAAGGTTTTCAATATAACTTTGATCACTCTTTTGGACATGATTCAAATGGAGGCGCCTCGAACGGTCTTCTATATAACTGTGTGTACATATTCTCACAAGTATACTAAAAAATTCATCAACTTCTGCCATTTTTCAATATTCTCGTCTCAAATGGGAAAGCTCGTTCGATCTTTCAACAAAGACGATTGTGCAAATAATTTCTGAAAAAATGATTGTAGCCTGCGCCATACTAGTATGCTGTGTACCAAAGAATTCAGGAATTTGTGAATACCGCATCCATCGATAAATAATATCCCCCGTCACTTCACGCGTTTCGTATTCTTTTTTTGGTGTTTGTTTTTAATTCAAGAACTTAGCCTTGAGACAATTATTGCTGCATTAAATGCTATCTTGAAAACTTTTGTTACAACCTACGTCATGTCTCGTAGTAAAAAATTCGCGTCCGCTCTGCTTGACCCTGGTGGTCCGGCTCGCAAATGAATTAGCAGGTGCGAGTTTAATGAAAGACAGCAAAAGCACGATGATACATTCAAGTATATAATATTATACTGATTGCAGTTGAGGGTTGCCTTTCAGTATACGCAAGTCTGAAGATTTGATTTGACTCTATATATCAATTGGATTAGATAAAGGTCTTATTTTTAAGTATAAGTAAGCTGAACTAACATTTGAGCTAAGTACTTCGAAGCGTTTAGATTGAAGAGTACAGACAAGTTAATATGATTCGCTCCGACAAAGCCTACATCCGCTTGATTTTGACTCTGAGCCACTTTGAAATTCTACTCTAACCATTGATTAAATTTTTAAAGATTGGCTTGACAATTTACAGGTTTTAATTTAGAATGATTGTGAGGTTTTATTTCAAAGGAATATTAATGGGAATTAATTTTCATTAAGTAATCTGAACTAAAAGTCCCATTTAAAATTGGTGTTTAACAACCCCTAATCATATGAAAAGCACCACTTTTAGTCTTGGAATTAGATTTGTCTATGTGAGAAAATTAATTCTTTAATCAGTTTAATAATATAATTACTGGCGGAAACTTTGCAAGACTTTGAACTCTTCCAACGGCCGAAATTGGACACTTTCAAGAGATATGTTTTGAAAGAGTTGGAACCAATAAATTAATCAAAATTAGATTTGGAAGTTCCAACATTTTAGATTCTCCCTCTTCAGGAAAAACGATATAAAATGTAATGAATGCAACCTCCCGTCAAGCCCTCATGAATTCATCCTAAAATGTAACAAGACATTAAGCACCCAACAGCAAGACATGACGCAACCCTCAAAAGATTATCCCATAACTCGTCACCATGTTTTAGTCTTGGCTTTTCGGATTCGCCACCGGGACAGTTGAGAAGCGGACGCGTATGTAAATGGAACTCAGGATGCACCACGGAAAACACTGGCCTTCTGCGCGAACGAACAGTCAACGGCAGCAGCAGCAACAACAACAATATTATATTAAGAGATTAGTTTATCTATATAAACACATCTAGTCGTCATCGTCGAGATTGTCCCTGCGGCCCTTGTACCTGCAGCACAGGCTGAGGCAGAAGATGCGCATGCCGACGCGGAACGAGGGGCTCATGGTGACGTAGATGAGCGACTTCCAAAACGAGTTGAGCACGCCGACCCAGACGATGGCAAAGTGCAGCATGGGCACCTGGAAGCGCAGGCCCGTGCAGTACTCGTAGAGCCGGACGCCGGCGTAGGGCGCCCAAGAGAGCCAGAAGGCGCAGATGAGCACAAAGGACATGATGTGGCTAGGGTTGGACAGGTTCTCGGCCAGCGCGGTGGCGTACTCGCGGTCGTGGATGGGCACGCCTGACCGCACGCGCTTCATCACGGTGAAGATGTAGCCGTAGGTGTAGACGATGGTGATGAGCGAGGGGCCCAGCACCAGGATGGCCATGGTCACCGTGTACGCCATCATGTTGTCCCAGTCGAGCTGGCACACGTACGCCTCGGGGTCAAAGTGCGGCTTGCTGAAGTTGAGCAGCGGCGGGCAGCACAGCATGCACGACGAGATCCACGTGAATGCCATCCAGCACTGGCACCGCGTCTTCGTCTGCACAGTGTCGTACCGCAGCGGCTTCCGAATGGCCAGGTACCGGTCTACGCTGATCCACATGAACGTGTAAACACTCACGCTCCACAGTGTCACTTCCACGTAGCCGGCGAGCCGGCACACCATGTCTCCGTACACCCAGTGCTGCACGATGGCCGGGTACACGGACAGAGGCACCACCAGCAGGCCGCATAGCAGGTCCGCCACCGCTAGCGACAGCAGGTAGTAGTTTATCACTTCCTTCGGGCCTGCAAAAACACAAAATCAGTTGTATGCCATTGAAAATAACTTAAGTATGCAAAAATCAATTAAATCATTATCATTTTGATATGCTTCAGAAAATTGTTTTTAATGAGCAATACTTTTTTCTTTTCGTTGAACCATAGTTGAATGAAAGAAAAATGTTCAATTCAATTAATGTTACAATGTTCTATCACTTCTTTTAGCTTCGTGTTCCTTCATCACGAATCAAATTTAATGTTTAAATAAAACATTTAATTAATTGGATAAATTAAATAAGTATCATTCCTTTTTATTTATAATTAGAAGATAAACTTAATTTCTTTATACTTTTTAAATAACAAAAGAACCAATGATTCTTTGAAAAGCTGTGAAAAACTCTTGAAACATTTAATTTGTTCTTTTATAATATATTTATTTATTTGTATATTTTACTATTTTCCTTGGAAATATAAATTTAAAATTATGTTTATAAGTTATTGTACAATTTTCAACATTTTTATTTGGTATCCATGTGCTTTAGCCTCTTTGAGAATGGTGATGAAATTTATATTGCAATATATTATAGTTTCAAAAAATAATTTTTGTTAAAAAAAGTTTGTTTCTAATTGTAAGAATTTTAGTCAGTATTTTAGGATAACCATCAAAAAATTCAAAATCTGAAAGCACTCGCTTTTTAATACTTCATTCTTGAAACTTTTCACGTTATACATCACAAGACAATGTCCTTTTTATTTTGGAAGCTAACATCAAACGTCTGTAACAGAGCCATCAAGAAATGATAAACCGTGGCTGCTTTCAATTTTTCAGTCTCATTTCAAGCAGAAAGCTCATGCATTTGCTCTGCTTACTTAAATGGAGGCAGTCGTGATTTGATATTCGCTTGTAAAGTTCAAAGAGCGCATTTTATGCTCTTGCCGTAAAAGCTCCGCGGCCTGGAAGTGGCACATGATTTTTTTACTCAAAAGTCGGCCGGGCACTATAAAACACAGGATATGCACAGGTCGCCAACGAACAAGGGCGAAATTAAACTCGCATCACGGCGGTTTTCCGCGAACACCACGACAGGGGGTGGATGCAAGTAATGGGCGGTTTGTTCCCGGTATCAGGGGTGGCTCGGTCAATTTCCCCCTTTCCCTGGAAAAGCTAATAAAACACACGTAATGCGCGGCCGACGGAGCGGGTGCATCGCACAGCGAGATGAAAGCGGCGCCGCGGTGCACCACCGCTCTGTGAGTGGCACTCCAATTAATGGAGTTAAAGGTCATCGAGTCAAACTATTTGCGGCATTGGCAACGCCAATTCCTTTCCCTCGCCCGCCACTTCGTTTGCTAATCAAACCGTGCAGGCGTCAGAGATGTGCAAATTAACGAATAGGGATTTATGCAACTTGCAATGTGCGGATGTCGAGCGGGAAACTAGTTCGTATTTGCGCAGGGGCACCGATGAGATTCGTGCTCGACTGAACTTGAGATGTGAGCAAATCGCGATTGCAGAGCGGAAGGAAAGAATTATGTCTGAGGTTTAACAAGCTTGGCTGGTAAGTCGGTCAAAAGAGGCGGGGTTCGATTAGTATGATTATCCTATGGCCTCCATTAAATTTACTGCCCTCCATCAATTTTTTCTATTATGAATTCAAAATTTGACAAAATACGTTATGAGTAGATTGCACAGACAAAAGTTTCTGTGCTAAAGGTTTTTAAAAATGTACATACAGAATATAATATAATGGAAAGTAAAAAATTAATAAAAATTAAATTGTATTAATGTAAGCAATGCCGTAAATAGTCCCTTATATTGTAATTGATTGGCTTAATATAAAAACTCTATATTTATTCTTTTTATCTAAGATTTAGTTATTTGGTTTTCATTAATTTAACCAGTATTGTACTATTTATTTTACATTTCATGCCAATAATTTTGTAAATAACTTTTATAATATTTTATACAAAATTCTAACTTCTCTTTAAAGAAGAAAAAATTGTCAGTTGATAAAAAATAAATAGAGAATGCAAATTATTTTATTAAATTTTTTTAGTCTGGGTTTACTCTGTCTTTATATTAAATTTGCATCACTTTTTGACTTTAAGAGTTTAAAAGACGTGTGTTAAATTAATGAGGAGACTAAAAAAACTGTTTAATCATTACACTCTGGAACTCACTCGGTGCAAATGAGAAATTAATAACGCGGATATCATCGTAACTTTGCAGTCATCGGCCGCTCGTAAAGTCGCTAAACAAATTAATCCCTTCAATCCCCTCAAATCCTGACGCCACCCGCCGCTTCCGAGAAAAAAAGCTGTAAAATGTCACAATCTAAAATAGCAGCGCCCTTGAGCCCTTTTTTACGCACACGCGGGGCAAAACTTTTTTATTGCCCCCGTCCACCTCTTCTATATAATATGCTGCGGCAAAAAGCGGCGTCCGACCATCGCAGCACCTGGACCGTTCCCGGAAACGGTTATCGCCCTTCCATTGGAGAGAGACTTGGCTTTCCCGAAAGAGATATTCAGCTTGGCAGTGAATTACGCACGCATCGCGTACTAGCGGCAGCAGAGGCGCGTCAATCTCGAGTGCCGATAAAATATTTTGCCACTCCAAGACGGCGGCGGCGGCCCCGTGTATTTTAAGTGGCGAGCGCACACACACAACATCGATTCGTTCGCAGAGCGCCGGCAGAGTCGTCAAGCCACTCGCAGCGTGTCATTTTTCAGCTCCTTGCCTGGCACATCCAATAAAATCGATTCGCCCCTGAAAATATTTATGTGCCGCTTTATTTTCGCTGCGTCGTCGCGCACCCATCATGTGCCCTTTCATTATTTACTGAAGCGGCCTTTTAATATTGAAATGAGATCGTCTCTCTCTGGTGTTCCTTTTTTATTCTCCCGCTGGCAAATTACATGTAATATTATTTGAATGTTATGCCGAAGGAATTTTCGTTTTGTCCAGCGTGCGACATGAATAATTTATAAATCGTCCTTTTGATGGCAATCATTGATTCAGCAAACTGCGAGCTGCTCGTCCCTTTCTCTCTCTTTGTGTAGGCCGGCGATAAAATACAAGAAATTGATGGCATTGGACACTTTCGGGACCAAAATAAAACGCACCGGCGAGAGACGCGGCGCGCGAACTCACCTCACTCAGCCCTTTTCTCTCTCGAACGATCTTTTACTTCAGCCGGGTTTTATGGCTTTCTTTAAAAGAAAAAAAATCGCGTATAATAAAATGCAACTGTGCTCTCTGTATTGTTACAGTTGCGTAAACACTTTTGGTAAAATTAGTTGATGCGGTCATTTTCCTGTATTTGTTCTGGGAAAACGGAAAAGAATCCGCGCGGAATGCCGGATCAATCTGGTCGATCAATAATAAATAAGCTGTTTTCCTTGTTGGGTAGCATGTCACGTCAAGCCGTAGCAGGCGATTCTTTGAAGGGGTTTCCGAACAGTCATGCCAAGAAAACGGGCTCTCTCCGAGATTAATTCTTATAGGGCTTTTGAATTTTAGCCAAGGGACAAGGCAGAGACGATAATGCGAGGCTTTGGTATTGATTAAGTTTAATTTTGTTGACCCCTTTAATAACATAATTCAATATAGGTTGTGAAAATATTCTGATTTAGTTATATATAGCAGTAGTTATATTTTTGATAAAATGATTTAACTGTGAATAAAAATAAATTAAAATTAATTTTAGAAATATAAATTATTCAAAATGTTACATAATTATATTTTAAACAAACGCTTCCAACAGGAAATATAGCAATAAAATTAAATACAATTAATAACAATTTCTATTTATTAAAGATGAAAATAAATAAAATATATTTTAAAATCAATCAAGCCTTACAAATAAAATGCTTAAATTTTATCATTTTATAATTTTATTTCATTTTTTTTTTAAATTTTCAATAGAATTAATTGTGATATTAGTTTTGAAACTCACCATGGGCCGTAAGGAAGGTGGCGATGATGAGCACATTGGAGACCACGATGGCTACCCCCAGCGAGAAGATGATGGCCGCTTGCGTGAGGGCCTCCAGGGTGAAGGCTATTTCTTGGTCGGGGCTTAGAATAATAAGGGCGCCGTCCCGCTCGAACATGGTGGCGCGCGGGGGTCCGCCCCAGGGCACAAACGCTCCACTGGGTCAGTGCAGTAGGTGCTGCTTGGTGTCGCGCCTCCAACAGCAAGAGCGACCATCCTTCAGAGCCAGCGCTGTGACCCTCGTGGTATTCGCCTTCTGGAAACAAGCCAAACACGCCTTGGTCAAGCTATAGGTAACAGAAAGAAAGAAAGAAACGCTCCTGTCCGCCCGCCCGCCCTCTGCCGTGTTTTGCAAATAAATTCGGGGCAATGAATGACTTTGTTTTCCCTGCTCGGAGGCGGTCGCAAGACAAACAAAAAGTGCCTGCCCGCTTGATTAATTTGCGCTCGGATTTTTTTTTTTGCGCCCGCAATCAATTAACAGTTGCCGGCGTCTGAAGGGTGATGGATGCGGTAAATGCCCGGGCAATAACTTATGCACGCATAATTCACATTCTTTCGCAGCACAACAAACTTTCAAGTGGATTAGCTGCATGATTAGTTTAAAATTAGTTGGAATTTGCCAGCGACAAAATAGCTTATTGATTTGAAAATGTTCAACTAAAATTTCAGGAATGAAAATTAATAATACTTTATTATTTAGTAACAAACATATTATTAAAAGCGAATTAATTAGAAAAGTAAACAATTATATCCAATTTACAACAGAAATTTATTAGACACAGTCGTGTAATACACGGTTTCGAAAATAGAAAATAACATACAATACTTTTATTTTTTTATTATTATTCCTAGCTATTTCTGATAAATTATTAAAATGTATGTTTATTTATTCAAAATTATAATATTTAAATTAATATACTGAAAATATACAAATATCTTCTTTTCTAATTAATTTTTAAGAGACTTTGATATTTCAATAAAAGTAATGATTAAATTAAAGTAATAAAATATCAGATATAGTAAAATTTTTGTAACTTTATTCGTTTATAACACACGTTTCATAGCAAAAGTTTCTTAATTGTCGAAAAACTGAAGTGTATATTACAATGTCTATATTGAGCTTTTGTAGCGTTTCAGCAGAACTGCATCAAAATATATTTGCAAAAAGTCGTTTAAATTAAATATTAGCATCCCAATGGACTATAAATTTGGCTTTACCCTTTAAAAGAGAAGTTAATTTATGTCCTAATTTAAAGGAATAGCCTTTTGCAGCTTTTAGAGGCCCCTCGTTGAAATTGAACTTGTGCAAAGTGCGAAAGTGCCGTGAAATTTATTGGAAAAGTAGGAACGCGACCGCCATTGAATTACGATAAGCGGTTTGGCTGCCGTTTTACACGCCGTGTGTCCCGCAGCCAACTTTCCGCAACCCTAGACATTTGTATTGATTGCCCATTTTCGTACAGTCGTTGCACACGTGAACACACGCTCGACCGGCATTTAAAATTACGGCCCACATGCAAATCCAGCATTTACTTTAAAGCGTTCGTATTCAGAACGGAGCCGCAAGTCCACCGATAGGAGTGAAATGTAATAAATGGTTTTGAGAACTCCCTTGTACCCTGGTGGAATAGTAATTGAGGCAATTTACATTGGTGTTTGTGATTTAATTAAAATGTGAATACGCCAGCCTATTTGGAAGTACTTTTAATTTTAATTTTTTTTTCATTACTAAATGTTCTTAAAGTTAAAAATGTAGGTCAAACTATTATTAACTGGAATCACACTTCTAAATTTTTTATTCAAATAAATTGATTTGATTTCCACTTTGAAAGTGACTAATTGACCTACAGTAAAATTAAATTTTGATTAATACTGTATAAAATATTAAAAATTGAGTAGAAATTTAATTAATAGTAATATAAAAACTGCGGTTCTTTCCAGTTATTCTTTGCTTTGTAAGTTTGGAATAAAAATATCACTGAATCGGCAAAAGATAAAACATCCAATTCTGCCGTGCAAACTTTTGCTGCCGCTGCCAAGAAAGTTTTTGTCTGGCCTTTCGCGGACATGAGCAAACAGAACCATGCCTTTCGGATAAAAGGCCTGGGTATGATTTACGGCATAAATTCGTCCGGCAGCAAAGGAAACGAATGAACTTTTACCCTCCACGTGGAAAGAAAGAAAGATGAAACACAAGCCCGGTGCCCCCGACTGAGAGACGCCGGTCGCTCCAGTCCAAGCAAGAGTCAAGTTTATGTTCGTTTAACGATGCCAAAAACCAATTGGGCTGCTCCGACTGGAAATAAGTACGCGACATGTATATTTATATCAATGTAACAATTTAACATGACATGTACTGGCGCCTACTTCTCTCTCGTATAATAATGGGCACGTTCACAGGGCTGCACAATTATATTGTGCGCAAAAAGAGCTGCGAGCAGGAGGCAATCGCACATATGAATTTAGCCCTCTCTGCAGGCAAACGTCTCACAAGATAGTTGAATAATCATCGTTGCTCACAGGGCTGACTGAGGACGAGCGACATTGCGTAATTGCTCTGTTGCAGCGCAGAACATGACAAAGGGAGGGTCTCTCCTGCCGCGCGCGCTATCAGCAGGAGCACGTGTTGATGCAAATGGAGTAGCAGTTTTGCCAATAATAAATATTGCAGAGGACTGACGTCACGCCGTAATGTGGGACATCCACCCACCCTCGCGCTGCAAAAAGATCCATACTCCAGCCGACGAGCACACTCGCCATGGCGATCTCTCTCTTTCTCTCTGCCAGTGGTGCATGTGTTTGCCGTTTTCTTTATTATTGTTCGCGAGCCTTGATTAAAATGATGCGAGCGCGCGTCTTTTGATTGCGGTTGCTTTGCTCTGCCTGCCACGACAATCGGCTGCAACTGAAGGGTCGCTTTTGTTCCTCGGCTTGCGACTCTGCAAAGGTCTCTGTTAAGCTCCGGCATTGTCAAAATTTTTTGAAAAGAGCATTTGCGAGCGATGAAAGGATGGAGAGCGAGCGAAACGACAGCCGCAAGAGAAAAGGGATGTTTGCAATAAAATCGATGGACGCCGTTCTGGCAACTTTTGACCTTGCAGGTAACGCAAAGTGTCAGACTTACATTTAGCAGGCGAAGAAATAATACACTTGCTGACAGAATTTTCCACCAAACAGGAAAGTTGTAAATCGTATAATACAAATTGGAAAATATTCACTTTTATTTTAGTGTTATTTTCGTGCCTCGACATAAGCGAAATATCGATTGGTTTACTTTTAGAATTGTGCTATGTAGCCGCGTTTAACGTCAGCGTTCAATTCAAAACTTTTGCAAACTTTAAAATAACAATACTTAATCAAATACATCTGCAATATTAGCAAGTTGTCAATTTATTGCAAGCTCTTCATACGATAAAATTAATTAGTCAGGGGGGCGGGGAGAAATATATATATATTTTTATAATTTGAATATTTTATCAAGTTTCAAGCAAAAAGTGACAGTTGTTTAAGTGAAAATTAAAAAATTATTGAAATTTCCATTTTTATTTCAAATTAATGCCAATATTTAAATGCCATTCAAAAGATTGTTAATATATTTTATGCGCTTCCTTTTCTTGATCAATATAGTTGAAAATATTCGTGGTCCAATTAAAGCACACATTTGCTAACACGGCGAGTCGGACGCCACTGTGTCTACATCCCGCTCGCTTGGCAGCGACTCCTTTGCTGCGGCTTCCCTTTGTTGTTTTGCTGCGCCGTTTGATTGACACATACAAGCAAATTTAATAAAGAAAAACGCCCAACAAGACGCCTTGTGATTAGTCAACGACAAACTGGGCCGTTTGCTTCCTTGCCTCTGCTCCCGTCGTAAATACAAACGACGCTGGAAAAGTGGCGGGAGTTAATTCCAATTGTTTGAAGGCGCTCTTTCAGAAATGCGACACATTATTTATACAAACACAGTCTCTCTCTCTTCAAATTGCATTATCTGTGTGCTGTCGCGCTCGTTCCCAATGTGTGCATGCATGTGTTTGTTATTTACGAGTGAGAGATGGCTTTCGCTCTGGATTTAAATGGAAGCATTTTGTTTAATCACTCGAGTGGGTTTTGTTGCGAGAGCGAACGACGGGCGCGCGCGACGCCTGGAATGAAATTAGTTCCAACATGTGAATCGCGCTCATAAATATGCTGGGCTGGTTAAATGTTGCGTTTGCGTTTTATTTATTTAATTGGAAGCAGCGCTAGGAGCAAATTGACGTTCTTAGAACCGCTTTTAAATTGGCTCTTTGAACTTTTAGCTCAACCATGTCGTAATAAAAGCAATTAGGAAACCCGGTATCAAAAGAGAGAGCAAGGCCTGGGCATGTGAGCTTGGTTTTAGAGAAGAAAGATCGTCATAAACAAACGAGGCGAGTAAGTGGTAGGAATTGATGAGTTTATATTAAGGAACTTTTCTTCAATAGGTTTGTAATTTCTTTCAAATGACCAGTTGTAGAGCGTCATAATTTTTTAAATAAATGCATCTTTTTAAGTAAAACCAAAAATTTAATACTTGTTTTAGTTTATATGCCTATAATTATCTTTTACTTTTTAAAAATTTTAAATATTTTCCAATTTAAAATTTCTGTATTGACTAAGAAGATTAATAATAATAATATTGTTAATTTAACACATATTTTTTTTATGCAATATTTTTCAGTAAGTGCAGATTCGGCTAGAGGGAAAAGTCCAAACAATTGTGTAAAATAATCAAAGGTCAGAGTAAAAAGTTACACAGGCTGAATTCCAAGTTTGTCGCTTGAAACCACAAACCCAGTCTTGCATACAGATAATACACCGCCTGCAGGATTTCCATCCCGGATCTGCGAAACCCCCTTTCTGCTCCAATTCGGCTTTCCGCGCGGCATGTGCGTCACGCAGGTTGCATACACAGCGAAATAAATAATCCAGCCCTGCGGCAGCCTTTGCAGCTGAATGTACATACGGAGCGCGTCCTCAAGCATACATACTCATTTGACGGTCCAATACGCATGCTTATTTGCATGCAAACAAGCGGCTCGGAAGTTGCGATGTGTCATTTTTCAGGCAGCTGGGGACACGGGCCAAGAGGAGACCGGGTGCGCTACTTTGATGTTGAGCTTTATCCTAGTAGGGTTAAGACAATATCTGAAGTCGGTTCAAACAAGAAAAGATACTCGGTGCATGTACTTTTAATTCTACGTGCATTTTTGTTTGGATTGCAGCTCTTGCTCG